AGGCTAATTTCTGATCCACCTATAATGACAATCCAAATCGAAAGTCCCAGTTTTGCTGGATATTTCAACAGGCTAGTTTTAAGCCGTACCCTTTCAGTGGTTCACGCATAATACCATGCTCAAACAGATCAAGCTTCTGCTCGGACAGCATCATCAGTTTTCTTCTGTGTAAACGGTTATAAGAATTGAGAGATCGTAACCAGCTGCTTTGTATAAAACTGGGTGCGAAAATTTACGCCGTCTGTAACTATCTCTACGGCATCCGAGCTGCTTGAAGTCATCGCAACTATAAACTACAGGTTGCAGCGACCACAGTTTGTAGATAAACGTTGGTAGCCGACTGCATTCTCGCATTCCCACGCATCACTCCGAACAGAAAGGCGCTAGTTTCGGTTTGAAGTCGGTACCTTTTCTACAACATAGATGGCGGCAACATCAGTCTTCTGCACGCGGTGCATTTGGCGAGTTCGTTTGAGTCCAGTTTTCCGTGCGACACTCTGTGAGTGCGATGCATTCTGGGAGAGAACTCGCACGGTGCCAGTGCGTGTGAAACGAACTCGCTATCAAACGAACTCGCCCAATGCACCGAGTGCAAAAGATAATGCCCCTGAATAAGAAAGGTAGCGACATCTTCTCCCTTCTCCTTTGACGCACACACCTTTTATCTTTATGTTTTGCTCTTTTACACCTGCGCGTTGACTGTGGCGCCGCCTAGATCGCTCCAATGATAGCAAACGGCCTCCTATATTTGGTTTATACTTGAGTCAGAGCAGCAGTCAAAGGCTGAAAGACACGCAAATGCATACACACAGGATAAAAGCGCACTGTCACGGTCTACCAGCCATGAAGGATGTGCTCAAAGAAAGACGAAAGCCGTGACGTTACGCAGTCGGCGTTATTTGATTGGCGACATGAGCTCATAGCATGCACTGCACTCCGACAGCATAGGCCATTCCTTCTCCCTCCTCCTCCCTTATGCAAACTCTTAGTTTTATTTTGCTCTTTCGCGCTCGCGCGTCGACTTTAGCGCCGCCTGGATCGCTCCAAGATAGGAGGCGGCATTCTTCAAAGGATGTCGCTACTTTTCCGTATACAGGGGCTTTAGCAAAAGACTGGTGCTGCCGCCATCTATGTTGTAGAAAGAGTACCGCCCTCAAACCGAAACCAGCGTTTTTCTGTTCTGTGTGATGGGTGGGAATGCGGGAGTGTAGTCACTAACTACCAACGTTTATCTACAAACGTTGAACGCTGCAACCTGTGGTTTATAGTTGCGATGACTTCAAACAACTCGGCTGCCGTAAAGAGAGTCAGCTACACACGGCGTAAATTTCCGCATCCAGCTGTCTGCAAAACATCTGGTTGCGATCTTTCAATTCTTATAACTGTTTACACTGAAGAAAACTGATGATGCTGTCCGAGCAGAAGCTTGATCCGTTCGAGCATGGTATTATGCGTGAACCACTGAAAAGGGTATGGCTTAAAACTAGTCTGTTGAAATATTCAGCAAAACTTTTCTTGGGACTTTCGATTTCGGTCGTGATTACAGCTGGTATCAGGTATTATTAGCCTTGGGGAGGACGTCGAGAACGAGAGTTTTTTCGAACAAAATACGACAGGGCAAGTTCGCTGACGTAGGTAAATGTTAAACATGATGATGTTGCCCAAGCCTCGAGTAAAGTCACTATGTTTAGCTTTCCCGTATGCCTATTGGGCAGTCAGGTTTCTGCTGGGGGAGTTTTGTCAACAAATGTTCAACTTTTCACCCGCACACGGATGAGGATAAACATCTCGAGGGCAGCTGATGCGTTTGTTGTGAGCTTTTCTTGACACACTGGTATATTTCAGCGTCTGTACGGCAACAGAGCGACTTAAAACCTGCAAATAAAGCACGGGTTGTTAATTGCTTCTTTCATAAAATAGCAGACGCTCACAATTCAAGCTCGCGTTTGATTATGTTGCCCGCGGGACGAGATTTCTATCAGAAATCTACTTTTTTTTTTTTCGGTTCTGCGACACATCGTAGCAGACGAACCCTCCGTCGTCTGCTCCCGCTCCTCGCCGGCCTCGCCGGAGCGAGGCATGACGGGATTGCATTTTGGCGCACGCCCGATTTTCTCGGTGCAGCGAGCGAGTGCATGCACGCGTGGGGTGCCTGCCGAAACGAACTCGCTTTCGCCGCGAGTGGGCACGCGTGGACACGAGTGCTGTGAAACGATCTCGCTATGAGGGACCTTATAGCGAGTTCGTTTCACACGCTCTGGCACCGTTCGAGTTCTCTCCCAGAATGCATCGCACTCACAGAGTGTTGCACGGAAAACTGGACTCAAACGAACTCGCCAAATGCACCGAGTGCAGAATGTGCAGAGGACTGATGATCCCGCCATCTATGTTGTAGAAAAGGTACCGACTTCAAACCGAAACTAGCGCCTTTCTGATCGGAGTGATGCGTGGGAATGCGAGAATGCAGTCGGCTACCAACGTTTATCAACAAACGTTGGTCGCTGCAACCTGTAGTTTATAGTTTCGATGACTTCAAGCAGCTCGGCTACCGTAGAGATAGTTACAGACGGCGTAAATTTCCGCAACCAGCTGCCTACAAAGCAGCTGGTTGCGATCTTTCAATTCTTATAACCGTTTACACTGAAGAAAACTGATGATGCTGTCCAAGCAGAAGCATGATCCGTTTGAGCATGGTATTATACGTGAATCACTGAAAGGGTGCGGCTCAAAACAAGCCTGTTGGAATATCCAGCAAAACTGGGACTTTCGATTTGGATCGTCATTATAGGTGGATCAGATATTAGCCTTGGTGAGGGCGTCGAGAACGAGAGCATTCTCGAACAAAATACGACGGGGCAAGTTAGCTGACGTAGGTAACTGTTAAACATGATGATGTTGCCCAATCCTCGGGTAAAGTTACCATCTTTAGCTTTCTCTGATGCTTATTGGGCAGTCAGAGGTTTCTGCTGGGGGAGTTTTGTCGAAAAATGTAAAATTTTTCACCCGCACACGGATGGTGATAGATATCTCGGGGGCCGCTGTTACGTTTGTTCTGAGCATTCCTTTACACACTGATATATTTCAGCGTTTGTACGGCAACAGAGCGATTTAAAACCTGCGAATAAACCACGGGTTGTTAATTGCTTCCTTCGGGAAATAGCAGACGCTCACAATTCAAGCTCACGTTTGATTTCGTGGCCCGCTGGACGCGATTTCTATCAGAAAATCTACTTTTTTTTTTTTCGTTCGGTTCCGCGACACATCGTAGCAGACGAACCCTCGTCGTCTGCTCGGTCTGCTCCCGCTCCTCGCCGGCCCCGCCGGAGCGAGGCATGACGGGATTGCATTTTGGCGCACTCCCGATTTTCCCGGTGCAGCGAGTGCATGCACGCGTGGGGTGCCAGCGCTGAAACGAACTCGGAGAGTGCAACCACTCGTGGAGTGCCGGCCGAAACGAACCCGTTCTACGCTGCGAGTGGGCACGCGTGGGCACGGGTGCCGTGAAACGAACTCGCTCGTTTCACGGCACTCGTGCCCACGCGTGCCCACTCGCAGCGTGGAACGGGTTCGTTTCGGCCGGCACTCCACGAGTGGTTGCACTCTCCGAGTTCGTTTCAGCGCTGACACCCCACGCGTGCATGCACTCGCTGCACCGAGAAAATCGGGAGTGCGCCAAAATGCAATCCCGTCATGCCTCGCTGCGGTGGGGCCGGCGAGGAGCGGGAGCAGACGACGAGGGTTCGGCTGCTACGATGTGTCGCGGAACCGAACGGGAAAAAAAGTAGATTTTCTGATAAAAATCGGGTCCCGCGGGCCACGAAATCAAACGCGAGCTTGAATTGTGAGCGTCTGCTATTTCCCGAAGAAAACAATTGACAACCCGTGATTTATTTGCAGGTTTTAAATCGCTCTGTTGCCGTACAAACGCTGAAATATACCAGCGTGTAAAGAAATGCTCAAAACAAACGTAACAGCGGCCCCCGAGATGTCTATCACCATCCGTGTGCGGGTGAAAAATTTAACATTTGTCGACAAAACTCCCCCAGCAGAAACCTCTGACTACCCAATAAGCATCAGAGAAAGCTAAAGATGGTAACTTTATCCAAGGATTGGGCAACATCATCATGTTTAACATTTACCTACGTCAGATAACTTGCCCCGTCGTATTTTGTTCGAGAAAGCTCTCGTTCTCGACGCCCTCACCAAGGCTAATATCTGATCCACCTATAATGACGATCCAAATCGAAAGTCCCAGTTTTGCTGGATATTCCAACAGGCTAGTTTTAAGCCGTACCCTTTCAGTGGTTCACGCATAATACCATGCTCAAACGGATCAAGCCTCTGCTCGGACAGCATCATCAGTTTTCTTCAGTGTAAACGGTTATAAGAATAACCAGCTGCTTTGTAGACAGCTGGTTGCGGAAATTTACGCCGTCTGTAACTACCTCTACGGCAGCCGAGCTGCTTGAAGTCATCGCAACTATAAACTACAGGTTGCAGCGACCAACGTTCGTAAATAAACGTTGGTAGCGACTGCATTCACGCATTCCCACGCATCACTCCGAACAGAAAGGCGCTAGTTTCGGTTTGAAGTCGGTGCCTTTTCTACAACATAGATGGCGGCAGCATCAGTCTTCTGCACTCGGTGCATTTGGCGAGTTCGTTTGAGTCCAGTTTTCCGTGCAACACTCTGTGAGTGCGATGCATTCTGGGAGAGAACTCGAACGGTGCCAGTGCGTGTGAAACGAACTCGCTATTAGTAAACACCGTCCAAGTCGGACTTTGACCAACGATCGTCAGGAGCCAATCATGCGGCTCCAAAGGTGCATCGTCATGGTGCCCGTCGTCTTTGTGTCATCCTCGTCGAAACCAAACGCGCAATTAGTTGTGATAGGGCCGGTTGCACCAACGCCGCTTAGAGCAAATCGGAGCTTAGACGGAAACCTAAGCTGAGTTTCGGTTTCGTTGCGTTGCACCAAAATCGCTTTTCGCTAAACCTAGCACTAAACCACACCTATCGTAAGCTCTCAACATTGGGTGGTTTGCTTTTGGTTGTTTTTTAATTCCGAACTTAAAACATGGCGGATGGTTTGTGGCGGTTGTGGCGGTCGACGCGGTGGACAAAAGTGCTTATGAAAAGTATTTTGGGCTACAACAGCGTGAGAATCTCGACAGAATGACTTTCGATAGTGATACGGATGCAAAATATTGTCGTGTGAGGTGTTTATCAGTCTCTGTTTTCAAGTTGGCTCTCCACTCTGAGCACCGTGACTCTGAGTGCGTGTTAGCCCTAACCGGGGAAGGTACGCAGCGACGCATCTGTGTGGTTCACCTGAGTCTTCTCGTTGGTTTTTCTATCAGCGTGCTTATTCGTATGTATTTACTTATTTTCGCATAGCTGTAACGTATTGCCATTTACATCCTTGTTTATTATTACTTGCAACGCATGTGCTTCATTCCGATCGGCGCGTTGAATAGCGGCAGTTCATGATCTCGGCGATCAGCTGATTGTCGGCACTTCTGCCGTTCGCATCAGATTGCGGTGAACGACTCTTAAATAATAAAACAGCGAATATGCATTTTATTTTGTTTTTAGAGTTTTGAGACAATCTTCAGTGAATTTTCTCTGTCTCGCGAGTAGAATCTTAGCTTCAGAAAACTCGTTCTACAACCGCAACTTTTCTAGCTGTCGTGCTTTGTAGGTATACAGGGTGTCACAAATGAAAATTTGCACGGTCTTTTTTACCGCAAAAATAAACTAGGCATCGCCGAACGCTCATTCTCCGCCCAAAGGTAGTGCTATAGGTCACAACCAGATGCCAAAGTTTCAGCCCGATCCGATAACTTAATCAAAAGTTATAACTGATTTTCTGAAAATTTCAATGGGAAAATGGAGCCCATTTTTGCCCGTTTTCGGTTTCTGGTGCCATAGAGCCCCATGTGTTCGAAAACTCCGTCGGCCGCCATTTTCCCATTGAAATTTTCAGAAAATCATTTATAACTTTTAAATAAGCTGTCGGATCGGGTTGAAACTTTGGCATCTGGTTGTGACCTCTAGCTCCACCTTTGGGCGGAGAATGAGCGTTCGGCGATGCCTAGTTTATTTTTGCGGTAAGAAACACCGTGTAAATTTTCATTTGTGACACCCTGTATTTGGCTCTATAACCATTCGTAGCAATGACAAATAATAACGACTACAATGCGAGATTCTTTCAGCATTGTGTTAAGGGTTAAGGCACGTCGCATCACGTGGTGCGAAGAGACGACTGTTCTCGTAGAACCGATGCGATGAACTAGTGGGAGGTTTTGTACTTCGAAGACTGCCGCCGTCTATTTGTTTAACTGGGCAGACAACATTACCCTTAGTGAACTCCAGATATACCTTTTATCACTCGCAAACGAGCTTCTAATTCTCTATCAGCAAAAATAAAAACGAAAAAAAAAAACGGTTCTGGGCGAGTTTTGGGTGTTCATAAATTCGCAGCTTGTATGACCATCAAGGAATCCACCTTTAGTATCGCTTTGATGTATGGGTAGTTATACTTTCCACATCACTAAAACAAAGCAAACTTAGTTCCATAACCAAAGGGTTTGACACGATCAAGCCATTATTTTAAGGTGTCTTTTCTTTCGTTGATTGCACACCCCTTTCTATGCAGTCATCAGCAGTAAAACATGTCGATCTCAGTTGCGGTATGTGCAGTGCGCAGAAAATGATGGTCCACCAGCTGTTCATCCAAAGCATTCTGGCATGGTGTCTAAATCAGTGGAGGGCTGCATTGTTTTTAACAAATGGGTTTTTAAGACAGATGTTGAAAGCAATCAGGTTTGGTCATTTCCTGGGAGATAAAGGCTTCGCTTGCTCACACGACATCATGACACTAGTTGCGGCACCAGAGACAATTGCCAAAGTAAGGTAAGACAGGGCTGATATTCGCACCTTCATGTTGGTGGTTTAAAGGGATACTACAAAGAAATTTCGGGACTTGTTTTTTGGTCTATATGTGTTCAAAGGAGCAGTATCACATTGACCACACCAATATCTTGTTTAAAAGGCACAAAAATGAATTTTAAAACGAATTAAATGATTAACAAAGAGCATTTAATGGATGTCGCTAACGCCTTGTTTGTAGTGCCCGTCTAGGAACCTTGAGAGGTATTGACGATAACTGTCTCGCCTCCGGCCAACACGAGAAAAGAGGGAAGGAGGAACTCCCCTCTTCCCGAGAATCTCTTTTGTGTGTCCCAGAAGTTGCTATTGTCCCTCTACAAAATTAGCAGATTAGCCTGTCACTCAAAATTTGTACAAAAGCAGCCGCTTCGGTGGTTTGGCTGGAACGACTAGGCCATCCTCTCGACGTCAGCCTCGCCGTAGCTTTGCTCGTCCCGAGACGAACTACCGAACTATGTCACGATTGCGTTGGATGTCACGTGCTCTTTGCTGGCTGTTCTCCGAGTGCTTGCCAGAGTGGGTCGTTTATAACGAAAAATGCAGCCACCAGGCTCAAAAAACAAATGTGCGATTGTCCTTTACGGATATTTAAGTTTCTTTATTCCTTTTTATACAAGAAGAGGGGGAGGAGGGAAGAAAGCAGTACAAAACTGCTTGACAATGCCCTCTCCTACCCCAACAGCAACAGCAGAAGAGACACTCAAACCAAAACTGGTCTCAAGAATACACAATCAGATTTCTCACGAAACTAGTAAAGATAGTATGTGTTTGTTGGAACAGTTTTGAATTGTATTATTCCGCGATAAAAATTTTTTTAACATTTTAGGTAGCTGGTATCTAACCACTGACTTCCGTAGTTTGTTCTCGAGCGTGGGATCGTCCAGGCGTCGGCACGACGAGTGGCATACGAGGTGTTTTGTGAGCGAAGGGAAGAAAGAGAAAGAAGACTATTTCCCGGGTGGTTTATCGCTGCTTTATATGCTAGGTCAAGTTTATACTCATAATAATTCGTGATTGGAACAATTCCTAATTTATTGAGGAACGGTGCCGTGTGGCTGTCATGTGCCAAAATATGAATTACCTTTTTCTGGAGTATTTAATCATGATGAATATTTGCAGAAGTTGTATTTCCCCATACCAAGACACAGTAATTAAAACAAGAGTAGAATAAAGAGTTATAAAGAAGTCGTAGTACAGACTGGGGCAAGGTTTCCTTGCTATCATGTGAACTGTTTCATATTATCGCATGTATTCAATATTGAGGATCATATTCAACCTATTTTTGAACACGACGGGTATATTTCAAATTTCGTTGAAGTATCCCTTTAGGACCTTCCTTGAACAGCTGTATATGTGACCATCACATGAATTAAATTTTCCATCAACTATGCACTCCCATTTTGCATGCTCAAAATGCTGTGTGCAGTGGCGTAGGTAGGGGGGTGGTTTGGGGGGTCAAAGCCCACCCGAAATCATCACTTTTGTTAGTAAGGGAAGACAAATATTGAATGATTACCGTTAGGGGGTTAGAGACAGCCGTGTCCGTACCCGTAAATTGTACTCTATATCGACCACTACACACGAAAATGAAAGAAAGACCCCTCCTCGAAAATAATTCCTGGCTACGCCAGTGGCTGTGTGCATGAAAAAGTTATACATAGACATATCGACCCCATGGAAGGGAAGTAGGATCTACAGAAATGCTGTTTGCCTGAATTCAAGTTCAGCTTGAGGACCGAACACTGCACGTGCGAGCATTGTGGCCACAGCAGTTCTTCATAACATGGTGCTTGAGCTGGTTGAAGCAGTGCTCCTCGTGGATCTGGAGCTGTAAGGCATTGGCGTGTTTTCCCAGCTGTGCCAACCGAACAGTTGCCTTTTAAGAGCTGCTCTGAGATAATTCTCATCAACCGTGTGTTTAAATGAGCCTAAGTGCTCCTAGGCAGGGTTTCAAAATGCTGGATGGGCATCATAAGCTACAGCATCATTTGACAAGTTGACAAGTGGATGCTCTGTTTTGTAGACACTTACTTTTACCTTTATTTCTTTAATTAATTTCAATTACCTTTATAAGTAATATGTTTTACTGTACTCATGTGTTATGGGGCAGCTTCTACAGTTATATTCTCCTACAGTTCATTTGTGCAAGTAGTGTGGTGCATGATTCACACTGGTGTAACTGTCCCTGACCTAATTTTGTAATTGCTAGACTAGAAGCACAAGTTGGACTAGTCTCATATTTGTAGATAGGCAGAGGCGGACTTAGCATTCTGCCAGTCTAGGCAATCTAAAAGTGTCGCCTCCCTCTACGCTCACATAAACGCACATGCGTACAGATTTTTTCACCCCAGTTCTAGGGTATTCTTGATGGCGGTTACAATAGCCACTTCCGTAACACCTTGTATGAGATTGAAGATACAACGGTCTATGGTGCCGTCTAACAACAAGTGCAGAAGTTCGGACTTCATTGTTGTAAAATAATTTTTGACGCGTTTCAAGCACAATGAAAATTGTTTGACGGTGCAGTACTGTACAGGCAAGCAGAGGAGCACAGGACAAATCAGTCTGGATGAAGTCGACAATTTTCTTTATCAAGGCGTCTACGCCTATCAATATTTTCTAGTCATCGTTGGTCAGTGTCTCCTCAGTTCTCTGGGTTTTTTTGGGTATCCGTGTTCCTTTGATTATTTGGAGTTTCATATATATATGAATCACATAGTTGGCCTAAAGCCACTTTCCAAAATTTGCTCCCCCCCCCCCCCTTCTTTCCAAACATAGCTGCCCTAAACCGCTGCCTAGTCTGCATATTGATAAGTTTGTTACTGCGGATAGAAACTTCAAAGGAAAAACAGAAAGCAACTGGGATAAAGCACTAGATTGTCAACATTGTGATAGTTTTACTTTGTGTTTCACCTATTGCTGGTGCTTTGCTTGTCTCTAGACTATCAGCTGTTAGTCTCGGTTTCCTCTTGTAGCTGTTAACGATTCCCTTACCACATAGCAAATATGATGTTAGGAATACCATAGGTGGTTTCTTCCTATTTTCAACACAGTAGTCAGCAACTATAAGGAAAATCCACCAGTTTATTGAAACTGGAAAATATGTGAAAGCTATGGAAGTGAAAATTAGGTTCATACTGAGCTTAGAAGCACTTGGCGCATATTGTGACCAAATAGGTGATGGCACATGTGCCAAACTGCATAGAAAGTTCAATGTGACACGAATCAAACCTCTGGTTGCAGTATTTTACTCATATTTAAAAGCCTCTTGTCAGACGGACGAGTGTGGTGAATGTGCTAATGGAGAGTACCATCTTGAACGATACAATAATGAATGCAACATTAATTTGTATATCTAGAACCACACCGTGCCAGAATCATATTCGCTCTGTGGTGCAGTGTACTGTGCCACAGCATATA